GCGACGCATGTCACCACCCCGAGCGAGCCGGCGACGGCACATGAGCGGGAGCCTCGCCCAGATGCTCCTATCATGCCTCGCCGGCGCACGCCCACGCCCTCGTCTCAGCCCTCCTCCCGGACCTCTTCCTCGCCAACCTCCTCCTCCGCCGCTACTCCAAGCTCGCCCGCCTCCGCGACGCCCGCCGCCTGTTCGACAGTATGCCCGCAGGCTGTTTGATTCCATGGGAACCGCAATCTTGTGTCTTGGACGACGATGATTGCTGGTTACATGCAGAATTCGCTCGATGCTGAAGCCTATCATGAACCATAATTGTCATACTAAATCTGTATTAACTAATAATTCAGGGGAGCTTCTCTACGCAGATAAAGAAATATGTGTGCATTTGTTTTTCTTTCTAACTGTTTCAGGAGATCATGAGAATTCGTCTAATGTTCCGGATGTCAGCAAAGCAGCTGCAAGCTATGCAGAAAACAGAAACCAGTCAAAGGCTCAAAGCCAAACAATTAGATGAAGTCGTGCTGCTCGCATGCGTAGCTGTGGAGTAGGGTTTTTTGGTCCTGTTTGATGATGTTGATCACAGGACCTATGCAGACCTTACGGTAACTATTCATTAACCACGAACTCGCCTTTCAGCCACATTTCATTTTTCAGGTATTATTTGAAAATCTGCGATGGTGCACATGCTTCAAGTTCTACATATGAAATTAACAGTAGGTGATGAATAGTTGATACTCAATGGCTAGACAATATCTATTGCTGATCAATCAAAAAATATTATTAGAAAGTCACCATAGGAAACAGTACTGAATCAGACTTGCTTTTCTTGCTGGTACGCGGTGGGCACCAGCACGAGCGGCGTCTTGAGGAGGGGGATGACCTTGCGTCCTTGCCTTCCTCCTCCATGCTCACCGCTGTCCCCTATGGGAGCGCCCACTCAAAGCAGTAGAGCAGGTTAGCTAGCGTGAACTCCACGATGGCCGTGCTCATAGACAGGGCGGGGCATATCCGCCGCCCCGCACCGAATGGCGTTAGCTCAAAATGTGCGCCCTTGATGTCTACCTTGCTATTCTCGAACCTCTCTGGCTTGAACTCCTTCGGATCATCAGGCCAGCTTGCCGGGTCCCTGCCAATGGCCCACACATTCACATAAATCCGCGTCTTGGCCGACACATCATAGCCGCCAATTTGGATGTCCCGCATGGCCTCCCTTGGCAGCAACATCGCCGCTGGCGGGTGCAGGCGTAGGGTCTCCTTCACCACCATCTTGAGGTAGCCCAGCCTGGCCAGGACATCCGGTTGCATGTAAAATAGGGTCTAGCATATTGTACATGTACACATATTTATATACATATGTAATTGTACTATGATCATCTATATAAAGAGACGTGAGGCTGGATGTTAGCCACCCACACAAAACCCTAAACCTACCTCTTTGACTTGGTATCAGCCAGGTCGGGCCGCCACCGCTCGTCCCTCGTGCCGCCGCCCGATCCCATCTTCCACGTCACCGCCACTGTCTGCTAGCTAGCTTCCGCGTAACCGCCGCTGCTTGTTATCTAGCTACGCACATACGCAGGATCCATCCAGCTGCTTAGCTAGCCACAAGGCCGCCGCGCAAACACTACGCGCCGCCCGATCCATCCGCCGCCGCCGCCGCGAGTTTCTTCTCCGCTGCCGCGCCCTATCCTCCTCCACGCCGCCGCGATGTCGTCAGCCGCCCTTTCACTCTCCAACAGCGTCGGCACCATGATCTCGCCCGCGGCTGCCACCGTTCCCGCCCCCTCGCCGTTTCGGCGATCTCCGTTCGCCTTGGCCGCCACAACTTCATGCTGTGGGGAGGCATCACCGGCATCGTCTTAGCCGGCACCAACCTCCATGGCTACCTGGACGGCACCACGGCGGCACCCGACAAGACCATCTCCGTCGGGACTAGCGACGCCGCGACGACCGCCGCTAATCCGGCGTAGCATCATTGGTGGACTTAGGATCAGAAGGTCAAGGGCCTCCTTCTTACCTCCATGGAGGAGGACATTGCCTGTGAGCTCATCAGCTGTGAGACGGCGCAGGCGGTATGGACGGCCGTCGGTGCCATGTACGGCGCGTAGAGTCGCGCCAACGTCCGTCACATCCGGCGTCAACTCCAGCCGCTGCGGAAGGAGGAGATGTCCGCGGCTGAGTACATGCACAAGATGAAGGCCCTTGCCGACACCATGGCTGCCGCCAGCTCTCCGATTCGTGATGATGAGCTCATTGATCACATCCTCACCGGACTCGGATCCGCCTAGAACTCCATCGCCGCCTCCTTTGGTGTGAGTAACGCACCTATGCCCTACTCCAGCTTCTACTCGCTCGTCTTGTCGTTTGAAGCGTTGCAGGCTCAGCAGAGTGCGTCAGAGGGGTGGACTCCCTCCGCCAACGCCGTGACTCATTCCGGCCCCTACGGCCAGGGCAGACGTGCTCCCTACTCGAAGCCCTACCCCTCCCAGGGTGGGGGTCGCTCAGCCGATGGCAACGGCCAGCCCGGGCCCGGCCGCCAAGGCGGCAACGACAGCCCCAACGGTGGCCGCGACCGCAAGCCCTCCTATGCCGGCAATGGTCGGCAAAGTGGCTGGGGTAACGGCGGCAACAACGGCGGTGGTGCCCGTCCCAACAATCACTGGCGCCCCCGGTGTCAAATTTGCAAAAACTGGGGGCATGAGGCCGATGATTGTCGCAAGCGCTATGACCAGGACCACAACACTCGCTCCGCCAACTCGGCCTCCACCAACACCGTCGACTATCCTTGGGTACTGGACACCGGAGCTACCGATCACCTGACGAGTGATCTGGAACGCCTCCAGGTTCACAAGCGCTATGATGGCAAGGACCAAGTTCAGGTTGCCAATGGTGCACGTTTGTCTATTTCACACATTGGTCATTCCTGTTTACCCGGTTCATCTCTTAAACTGCGCAACATCCTTCATGTTCCACGCATCAGAGGGCATCTCCTTTCTGTCTACCGTCTTGTTTGTGATAATGACGTTTTTGTTGAGTTTCATCGTCGCCTTTTCTTTGTTAAGGACAAAGCAACCAGGCGTGTCATTCTTTAAGGTAGCACTCGCGGGAGGTCTACCTGATTCCCTTTGCTCGTGCATCGTCCTCGTCATCTCGCCATGCTTCATCCAGTGTCCGCGTTTTGTCGTCGCAATGGCATCAACGTCTAGGTCACCCTACCAATAATGTGGTCACCTTCATTGTTTGGAGCCATGACCTTCCTTGTTCTAGTTCAAATAATTCACCATTAGTGTGTGATGCATGTCAGCATACTAAGAGTCATCAACTACCGTATTCTACGTCTTATCATGTCACTACAGTACCTCTTTAATTAATTCATTCAGATGTTTGGGGTCCCG